AGGTGAGCGGCAGAACTAGTCCTAGTGTCCCATCCTGATAGTCGTAAGATCACCGATGAGCTGTTATCTGGCCACCCCTCATACCGCCTGATATACAGTACGTCGTTGAGAACTTGAGCGTTCATTTGATAGACTGAACTCAGTCAGCTACACCTGAGAGACTCTGTAAACCGGACTTCATGGACCTTTTAGAGTGCGTATATTCAGAAGGCGGGCTAAATCGACTCGTAGTCGACGAGGCTCATTGTATCTCGGTACGCAGCTCTTGTATCTTATTCTCCATCATGCCAATTTCTTCTCCCCTCTAGGAATGGGGAAACGATTTTCGTTTGGATTATCGTCGCCTTGGAATGTTTAGGAGGCGATTTAGCTCTGTTCCTATCATGGCTTTGACTGCCACTGCCACTGCCCAGTACGTTTTCACAATAATTACGATACGATACGATTTATTGACATTCTTATAAATGTAGAGTTCAGGCTGACATCATTCGCAGCTTGGGTATGTCTGAAGACCGGATGTTCCTCGCCCTACACCCGTTCAATCGCGAAAATCTCTTTTATGAGGTGTGCGCATAACTTGATCATTTTATGTCTTCCCCTGACATTGCTTTCACTTAGATTCAGTATCTTGCTGATCCCGACCCAGTCTCCCAGATGGCCACAATATTTGAATACATTACCACACTGTATCGAAGACGCAAGCGACCCTCATCGGGCATTATTTATTGCAGGTTGCGCACGACATGTAACGAATTATCACAGTATTTACGGACAAAGGGCATCAACTCGAAGCCCTACCATCGAGGAATAAGGTAATTCGAATTATTTGGCGCAACTAGGTTTGGACTTATTCGATCTGGAAGCAATGGCATCCTTGATAAAACTCTGAAGGAGTGGACTATCGGAGGATCTGGAGATGGCGGTGTCGATGTCGTAAGAGATTTATCCACACGGGTGTTCTGATGCTGAAATGCATTTCTCAGGTCGTCGCAACAATCGCATTTGGCCTTGGAATCGACAAGGGCGACGTCAGGTATGTCTTCACTTACATATTTGATCCTTCTTCGAATTTTTCTGATCAACAGGCAAGATATATCATACATTATGACATTCCCAAAAGTTTCGAAGGTGATGTTTAGTTGGCATCTCACTGGTGCGTAGTCATATTAACTCTCATCAGGCTACTATCAAGAGACGGGTGAGCCCATTGAAAAAATCAAACGGAGAAGATATTCTTAACATCCGAAAGGCCGTGCTGGACGCGATGGATTGGTGAGTTACTTAAACTCCCTTCACTTCATCCCGCTGTTCAACTCTCTTCTCAGCCTTCCAAATGCATACTCTACTATTGTAATCCCAATGACTTAGAAAGCAGTTACGGACGGAACTGACGCGTTTCCACAGCACGCCAGGATGCCCGCGAGGTGCGGGGGTGGATCGAGAGCACACGTGAAGCGCGGCTGGAGCAAGATGGACCACCGCCAAGCCAACGTGCAGCTCATAGTCTTGCCGCAGTGAGCACCGCAGGGTAGAACTGGTCCTTGTCATTATTAACTAGTTCATCAGTTGTTCAAGTTCGCCGAAAGCCCAGAAATATGCAGACATGTTGTAAGTCTGCGCTAAACCCTCTTGCAAAAGAGATGCTTACGGCCAGCATTTTCATAGTCAATCTGTCGCTATTTCGGTGAAAATATCGACGCAGATGATGCAGAGGCCGTGCGGAAATACTGCAACAACATGTGCGACGTAAGTACCTCTGATCAATCACTCGAGCTTGGGTTTACGAACATGCCAAAAGGTCTGCAAATATCCCGACAAAACTAAGCGTCGAATAAAGAAGTTGTCCACGCAAGTCACGGTATCCCTAGAAGCTCCCGCTGAAAGTAATCCACGACGACCTGGACCGGGCGATGCTAATGGATGGACGACAAAACCAAACGGAAGAGTGACCCGGGATCCACCACCGATAGGCCAGAGGCCCTCTTCGGGTCCTCGTTCACATGGGATGACGAAACGAGCAGGTCCAGAAAGTGACAAGCTTCAACACAATGCGAAGAAACCCAAGGTTTCCTACGCCCCGGCTCTCGGTAAGGAACACCTGAACCCACTTTCTACGCTCGCTCATACCGAAGTCGGGTTACTCAGTGACGAAACCTTTCGCATCGACGTCGAGCCTGAACAAGCCTTTCAAAACACCATTCAAAACACCTTTCAAAACACCTTTCAAGGACCCCGTGCTACCGATACCCAAGCCTCCTTCGCCCAAACCAGAGGTACTCTCTGTATCGGATGACGAGGAGGTTGAGATTGTCGAAGACGTCGACATGGCGGATGGGACCGAATCCGCCTCAGATCATGTTAGCACAATGCGTCAGTTGTGTTTTTTACGCCTTGACCTTGTCTATTAACTTAGCGTGTCCTTCCAGCGTCTTCCGTAGAAGTGCCTGATATTGTTGTCGAGCTTGACGTCTCGTACTCAGGCAAAATACCTGTAAGGGCTTCCTCCATTTCAGTTGATACTAGTCCTCATTCTAATCGACTTGCAGATGGATGCTCGACTCTGCGGGTTCAACAGCATTCGGCGAGCGATGTTTGGCGTTTTCATGCTTGCTGTAGACAGCGAGAAGGCCTGGGCCTCTATAGATGCTTCATGTTTAAGTATCGCTACGAGGTGAACGGCGCAGACGCTTATTTTTGAAGGATTGTTGCTGACATCCACACATTCTAGAGAGAACGTCATTTCTGGTGCTGCAAAAGAGCTGGAATTCTCTGCTTTGTCGATGTGCAGCACCAAAGACGGCTATACAGAACGCACGGACGAGACGGCTGCTACCATCGGCAAGGACGTGCGGCACATGTTGAGTGGCTCGGGTTATAACGTGGAAGACGAGGAGGATGCGCAAGACGTCATCAACATCATGAGGAGGTCGTGCAAGAGCCATCTGAGAAAAGTAGGCAAGCAGAGGGCGGCGTAGTCACATCTAGTGCAGCGCTTGTATAGAGGTGATGGATAGACAGATAGACAGTGGAACACGTATTCGAGGCTTCACACAAGCAGATTCCATACCCGCACACCCTCTTCCTGCCTACCCATCATATCAAGCAGCTTCGGCCGTCCAGATCCAGCGCGCATGCTGAAGATCGCCGAGGAGCCTGCGAAGACTTTGCCTATGCAACGCAAAGATTAAAACAGGGCTTTAGATACGAGGGGACAGCTTACCGTTTTCCTTGCCAGTCCGATTGCAGAGCACGACGATCGTTTCATGGGGAGGCTTCTCTTCCTCCTCCTCCACGTCTTCAATCGCATCTTCAACTGCTTCCTCTTCGTTGCCCACGGACCCAATTGAGCCGTCTGAGTACATGGTCTCGTTGCTCCCCCTCCGTCGCCCGTCGCGCCTCCAGAGTGGTCGGAGCCTTGCCGCCCAGTATCGTAGCGTGTACCAATCTGGTTCGTTATCTTCGTCGTCCTCCGCCTCGAGTTCAGTTCCTTCCTTGCTATTGTCGCTGTTATCCTCTTTCTCGTCCTCCTTCTCCCCCATTTCACCTAATTCGTCATCCTCCGTAAGACCGGAATATAGCCATGCGTTGAGCAACACGAGCAACCTCGATCGATTCTTAGCTGTATAGTCCGCGAGCTCGAAGGGTCCTTCAGCGCTCGTCCATAGAGCCGGAGGCTGTGGGTTGAGGTCCATGCAGATACCAATGGTAATGTTCAGGGTGTGCGGGGTGGGAGCACCGTCCGCGGAGTCAGGTTGTAGAGGTGCTGTAGAAAGCGGGAGAGAAAATGAAGCAAACCCGTTTCCTGCGAGATAACCCTTCAAAGTTAGCGTATATTAGTAGGTGTTGGGGAGCTACGCACCTGGCTTAGCCCATGGCTTGTCTGTCTCGAACAAATTGACCTTCCTGTATCCGCCAACCCATTCCCCAGTTGGACCGAAAATAACAGCGCTGTTGGCGCCTACTTGAGTGCGTGTTTCAGGTTCGGGTGCAGCGTTCACTGATTCGGAAGACAGTTCCTGAGTGACTCCGAGAGAGCCGTCCACAGGTGGAATTTCCATCCCTCCAGCCAAAGTGTTCTTTATCATGCCATCCGTCTCAGGTTGGGGCTCTTCCTCTACTACCCAGCGTTCTTCCTCTCGTAGGCGTTCCGGATAACCGCCAGCGACGTAACACCCCAGTTGCTTCGCGATTTCTTGGCAGAATAGAGAGCTGGGTCCGGTTCGGGGTTCCTCGAGGTACGGAGAAATAGCTTCCGCGGAGTCAAAGACATAGCCTAAAAGGACAATGTTAGAGGAACGTTGGCGGCATGAGACGAAGGGGCAGAGTTGGGGATGTACCTCACCAGTGAAGGCCATTTCAGGGAAGCAGAGGAGGTCGATGGAGTGCGGCTTAAGCCTATGGTCGATAAGTCACGCCCTTCAGCTAGACATCCATTCGACGATGGAACCGGTGCCTACTTGAGACATAGCTCCCGCGCCCTCGCGATGTTGGCGTCGACCTGGCCGATCTACTGACTAGATGAGCTTGGATGGAGATTTCAGGGACTATCCCGTCCAGGTGAACGTTCATCACGAACCTTGGGGGAGAACTGGACAACGGCAATTCGCAGAGGGACGTGGCTCGCGTGTTGAGGTTGCGTGGATACGGGTGTTAGTCCTCCGTTCATCATTCTATGAACTATGGGATTCCTTGCGATTATTGAAAGCGCAGATCGTGCCAGATTGGACGTTTCCAGATGGAGTCGATACTTGGGGAGGGAGGGAAGAGATACTGCACCTCACGTAAGCAGCGCGCTTCATAGGTAGATCGTGCCGAAATCGGCTTACAAGCTCAAGTCGCTACCATTCCAACGCCACCAGTAAACCGCGTCCTATGTGGGAATACTGAATTTTGAAATAGGAAGATAAGAAGATAGTCCTAATCATAAATCGATAGGAGGTACTCGTCATATCTATGAGAGGCCACTGCGATAAACAAGCAAACTTTCTCCACCATCCGACTCGGGTATGGTGTAACGGCTAACATTGCCGCCTCTCATCCGTCCTTGTGATAATTATTAATTCATAGGTTCGCGGCAGCTCGGGGTTCGATTCCCCGTACCCGAATAGTCTTGACCACGAATCACATTTTTCTCACTGCTCTCACTCGCGACGTAGTCGATATTTTTGGGAATCGTCAATGGTCACTGGTGTGGAGGGGCAGATGCGGGAGGGGCTACACCCTTAGAAGAATCGGCCAGTCGGTAGGCGTCGATGACTTTCCAAGCGTATCAAACGCTCTGGGGCGCCCAGAGGAGGGTGCGCGTATACGGGTCGGGGCCGTGCCATGGAGGACAGAGTGGTGGTGGTGGGTGTTACGCCGATGGTTAGAGACAGGGAAAGGGAACGACTGGAATAAAGTACGAGAATATGATGTACAAGCCAAGCATCGTTATTTTTTTCTTGCATGGTGCGGCATCTGGTCGACGATGAGAAAGCAGGCCAGACTCGCGCCACTCACGACCTCGAAGTTCAAATCAATTAGACGCAGAGAGACAGTCCTCAGCAGCGACGGTGATGAGTGCAGAGTAGCTTCCTGGTCCTTTTCCGAGTCTCAACCAGTTCGCATGAAGCATACTCCCCGCTCCATGTCCTATACTGTATCTTCAAGGTGCAGGGCAGACGTAAACCCGTTGTCCAAGGTAAATCATACGGGCTCGACCGGTATCCTGAAACCCATTGATCCAAGTACCATTCTGATTGATTAGTACGCGACACAAGGAGTACTTCACGAATATTGCTGAGGGTCCCTTCAGCCTAACCCTAGATTTTCATGTCGGTGACAAGCGGGGTGACAGGATCAGTTGCCCGGCGTGGATCGTACCCTATTCCGTCGGCGTGATTGCTCTTTGTCAACTTGTCTCCTCAGCATGCAATTAACCCGACAGAAAATGACGTGTAGCCTGCTGGCCAAAGAAAATAATAGGACAGCGCCTCGGGCACAAAAACCTCGGGTTTGACATTGTCTGTAGTCCCAAAATGTCCTCTCCGGAAGGGGCTGCCAGTGGTCACTCCAAGAGCCAGAGGTGAGAGCAACGAGCCTACGGTGCCTGATTAGACCGAAACTAAAGCCTTGAGGAAACTTCATCGCAGAAATATACATAGTGCAGGATGGTGCGCCTTGTGACACTCAGCCTAGGCCATCCTTCGAAGGCAGTATTACCTAGTTCATTATGTCCATGATAGACCACTAAAATCCGGAGGCAGGTCAGATCTACAATCGGGTATGGTGTAACGGCTAACATTGCCGCCTCTCATGAATTTGTTTAACTCGAGTGCGCGCGGCAGCTCGGGGTTCGATTCCCCGTACCCGAATATATAAGAGATACCCTCGTCTTTTTCTTTCCTTCGTTCGGGTCGTTTTAACTTTTGACTGATTGCGAAGGAAACGTATTATAATTTTGAAGTTTCTGAGGTGATGAGGGGAGGAAGAAGAGGTGGCTCTGAACCAGTGAGGGGGCTAAACGTGAACGTGGGTATGAAGGTTTGAACGAGCTCAAGCCGGTGAGTGACGTAGATGAAAGCCTAAAGGTGCAAATCAGCTTGGAATGCTGCAGAGGGCATTTTCTTGGGTCCGAGTATGTACCCCGCAAGTACAGGACCGCGGGCTGTTGCTCTTATATAGGCAGGATGTGGAGGGCGCGCCTATGCGCATGAGAGCACGTTGTGCTTGTTGCCTTGTGCTGGGGTGGATTCTTGGTGGGTGGAGGTGTCCGGCGTATGTAGTGACAGCTGAAGGGTGGAAGATGTATTGGATGAGATTCGCGCGTGGACGTTGTGGCTGAGAAGCCATATATCCTCACATGGTGGAATGGAGGAACGAAAAGTATGGTCAGGTCTGTGGATTGGGAATAGGCAAGCGTTGATAAGAAGGACGAGGTCGGAAGGATCTGATTATGGTGCATTATCAGGGTATAGCGTTTGTTTACATACAATACAATACCGGACTGGGTATCTCGTTTCCCTCTCTAGATTTCCTCTCGCTGCTAGGTCTACCCTGTCGCAGGCCGCTTCTTGTTTGGGCGGTAATCGGAAAAGTTGACATGTTAGTGTGGGCGCGGTGTTAGCCCCATGCTGCGGTTGTGCTGTAAAGATGGTGTGGTGAGGAGGAGGGTGGTATAAGACGGGGGAGCACGGACCTGTAGTTGACGATGAGATGTCCTTCGGTGGCGAACGACTATCGGGGAGGATGGTTACAACGCTTGGCAAGGGGAGAGAGAGCACGACGAACTTTGAACAAATTCGACACCGTGTCATCCGGCGCCGGCGAAAACGCGAGGTTGACATACGTGAACTTGCAGGTCAATCAGCGACAAGCCATGAAGCCACCTGGATCACAACTCACCAGCGGTTCACCCGCCTGCCATCCCAGCTCCTTCCGTAAGAACTGTATGACGGCCTGGAAGCGGTTCGAGGATGTGATTTTATAAAAGTTCTGCTTCATGATGGGCGCATTCCCGACGGCCTTGAAGCGCACGATGACTGGGGATGGTCAGCGGTGGAAGGGGTGAGATGAGAAGGGGGGTGTACCCTTGGAGGGATCGCGCTGCTTGTAGGTGTCGAGGGCTTTTATGGCTTCAGCGAAGCGTTCGGAATGTTCTGGGGCACCCCATGGGAGGGCGCGCGTGGGTGGGTCGGGGCTGGTGGTGGTGTGAGCCATGGGGAAGGAGGAGCTGGTGGTGAGTGTTGTGGGGAGAGACGGGGTAGTGACAGGCGAGTGGTGGTGTAATTTCACAGTCGGGTATGGTGTAACGGCTAACATTGCCGCCTCTCACGCGGCAGCTCGGGGTTCGATTCCCCGTACCCGAATCATTTTTTTGGTGTCATGACGTCAACAGTGGCAAACAGGGTGCAACAGGATGTGAATGAAATATTGTAGTTTGTGTTGATTGTTGGAGTCTTGCCATGGGGAACGCCTCGTCGAATGCGACTGGAACGCGGCCGTCGACGCTCAGCCCCCGTCCACGCCAGCCCTCCACCTCCCCATCCCCCGGCAACCCACACTCCTCCCTCCGCACAAAGAAGAAGTCCCTCGAGCTCCCCGATCTGGCCTCCCTCAGCCTCACATCCACTCGCGGCAGACAGCACTCGATCCCCGGAAAGTCTGCTTCGATCCCCATCCCCGTCAGCGCCCATCCCACCGTCGCCATCCCCGGAGAGGCCGGCCGAATCCGCGCCCCGATCACCCTCCCGTCCAACACCGATGTCCAGCTCCTCGCCAACCACGAACCCTCCACACACCAGCCCTTCCCTCCTCCATCCCGCAACAGCCGCTCGGCACAGCGACGACAGGCCCTACAACAGCAGCGCGTGCAGGAGCTCTACAACCAGTCCCAGGCACCCAGTCCCCAGCCCACCAAGCAGCACCCCGTCTTTGTTCCAGAGACTGTCCATTCCAGCATCCCCATCGTTTTGACTAAAGTCCTCGACGACTCGTCTCCGCTCTCAGCACCCGATGGTTCGCCCGTGCTATGCCCAGTCAAGATCACCTGGCGTGGCGGCGGTAAATCCGTATTCCTCGCCCGCGCAGGCGACCAAGACTGGAAAGGCCGTCTCGCAATGACCCCCGAGTACGTCCTACCTCCATATTTCCCTTATCGCAGCAGCTCACATAATCTTCCAGATCCGCTGGATCCTCCACATTCCACGCCACCGTCCCCCTTCCGCCCGGAACCCACCACATCCGCTTCCTTATCGACGACCTCTGGCGCGTCGCAGACGACCTCCCCACCGCCGTCGACGACCAAGGCTCCCTCGCAAACTACGTCGCCGTCCCCATCACCTACTCCCCCCCACACCAAACCCACCTCCCCGCCTCCCCACCCGCCCCCTTCGTCCCCGTCTCAAAACTCAAGCCCGGCCAAAGCTTCTGGAGCGCCGCCTCCTCCACCGACGACGAGTCCCAAGACTCCCCCCACCCCTCCCCCTCCCCGCACGTCCAGGCCCCGCAGACGAACCAACACCCGCCCCAAGCAGGAGCAGGAGGACACAACCACCACGCCCCGGCGTGGACGGACGTCTTCCCGCCCGAGCTCATCGAAGCGGCGCGCGAGGAAGAAGCCTACCTCGCCGCCTCCGAGCCGTCCCACGCGCACTCGGGCCACCAGCGCGTCGCGGGCTTCGTCCCCGCCCCGAACATCCCGCCCGCCCCGGGGCTCCCCCGCCACCTCGATAAGCTCATCCTCAACGCGCGCCCTGTGACGGGCGGCGCGGGCGGCGCGGTGGGGGCGGTGCCGAGTGGGAGCAGTAGTGGGAGGAAGGCGGCGAGGGAGGGTGGGGGTGGGGCGGGGAGGTATGGGGCGCAGGCGGGGGCGAGTAATAGTGTGGGGGGGAGGAGTAAGGGACGGGAGAGGGAGAGGAAGGAGAGGGAGAGGGAGAGGGATCGGGATAATGATAGGGATAGAAGACGGGATAGGGAGAGGGACCGGGATCGAGGTGAGCGGGACCGGGATCGGGAAAGGGACAGACGCGGGAACCCACCGCCTCCGCCTCCGCCCAGCGAGGCAGGCACCGTCGAGCTCGAGCCCGCACTGGAAGTGGAAGTTACCGCCCCACCCGCGGAAGACCCCTCCGCACCCACCAGCCCCACCCTCTCCTCCCCCGCCTCGCCCACCGACAGCACCACCCCCGTCATCCCCCCCTTCGTCCCATCATTCCTGCCCCCAACCACCCCTGCGCCGGGCTCGCCCACGACAGCTGCTGCGACCCCAACCCCAACTAATACGAACATAGTGAGTTCGACGAGGCCGCTGACGCTGGGGCTGGAGGCGAACACGCCTGCGCTGACGGACGACGCGAGCGTGCTGCCGGTGCCGTCGCATGTGGTGCTGCACCATTTGTCGACGAGTGCGATTAGGAATGGGGTGTTGGCGGTGGGGAATACGACGAGGTATCGGAAGAAGTATTTGACGACGATTTATTATAAGCCGACGTAAGGGCGGGGGGGGGGATGTGTACATGCTTGCTTGCTTTTCTTTTTTCTGATTTTTTGCTTCTTCTTGTATATGTTTTTCGATCCAGCTGCTGACCTACCCCTCTGCCCTACACCGTCTCATCACCCATGATACAATGCACCGGTGCTACAATGATACGAGATACAACATACATGCTTACCCACTCATCCATATACAGACACGTACCGATACAAGTTACAAGTTACACGGGTACCCCCTACTGATTCCTGATTCCTGATTTCGATTTTTGTGCTACTCCTTCGCGATCGCTCGTGTTTGGTTTATTCGTGTAGTTCGACTGTTGTTGTTGGAGGCAATGCAATCTGCTTAGACTTTGTTGTGGATGGATGGACCTTGCTTCTTTGAGAGTCTTGGATGGTAGGGAAGGATGAGGGAGTGGTGTTCGCGATACAGGGGTTCAATCAAATCATGTCGGACCTCCTTTCCACCCCCTTTACCGCTATCGAGGGATATGAATTGTGAGGAACTCCCCTGTGACCATCAGCCCTCTTCTTTTTGGCTGGGTCATTGAGCATCTACGCTCTGGATCGTTGACGGCGCAATATGTCGTGGCGGTTTGTCGACTTATGATGCGTTCGCTCACGACGTATGTGATGTTGTGATGCGCTGCCCCGGGCCAGCAGTATACGAACTATAGGATTAAAAATTCCAACAGCACCTCAAGATGATGGTAGGTATAGGCACAGGTCGCCTTCAAGTTTATTAGTGCAGGGTCTGGGCCATCAACATAGCAAACTGCGATAAGCCCTCTTCTCCATGTCAGGAAGGTGCTGGCTGGGTCATTGAGCATCTACGCAGACTGAGGGGCGCTGTACCCCTTTGCTCAGAATAAGAGGACCCGTCACCAACCCGTCACGTCTGATGTGGTTGGTGCTGAATTTAACTTAGATGTCCTGCTTCTATCCAACCGACTGGTTATACACAGGTTGGAACCTACGCTATACAAACCAAGTTTTGCCAAGACATGACATCCGCGGCGTGAGGACCTGGTCGCGCTCAACATGCGGTCATGAATATCGCTACGGACAACGGAGATTGTGGATCATTGTCGAGGGGACTCATGGCGCATCCAATCCTACTACATTCTATCTCTAGTCGATTCTCAGTGCTTAAACAAATCTGGCATATGCAGTGTATGCGCGCTCACTGTGATATGAACACCATCCCGTAAACGAGTGCGCAGCAGAGGTTCTAGCGCGAAAGCGCTTGCACGTGGCCTTCAGTGGTCTGAAACCTTGAGGAAACGATCCCTGCAAGAGAGAACCACTTTTTCGTCGTCTGCGAACTGATGCACAATCGAGAGATCACCACTGGGGATGTCCTCGCAGGCCATCTTCAGTC